GCTTGGTGCTTATACAGCATGATTATCAGTTCACATATCCCTCTCTAGAAGGCTGGGAGGAGAAACTTAAGAGAACGTAAAAAATGATGCTGTTGGTAGAGATTGCAAATTAGGGTTATAAATCACTTATTTTTTAGAGCAGTTTCTGCATGTTAAAATTGATTATGGGAGTATAAAAGATCCAGTTACTCAAATTAGTTTATATTCTTCTGTCTCCTTCTCACAATGCTTTCTCTTAATCACTTTAAGAACTTTTACCAGTCACAGCAGAGATTTAGAAAACGCACATTCTGAGGATCTGATGGCAGTATTAGTCATACACCTGAACCTTTGGTTTGATTGGAGAAACTGGGGATATCATAGCTGTCTTCAGGTTTTTGAAGGGTTGTCACATTGAAGAAAATTTAGACTTGTCCTGCTTCAGTTCAATATGCGTTTAAGTATTTTCTGCTTTAACAAATATTTATTAAGAAACCTTCAAGGTACTGGGCTAGGTGCTGGGGATGTAAGTGTTGTACCGAGAAATCAGCGAGCGAGACCCAGACGTAATTTAAAATGTGGATTTAATAGCCTGTGGCTGCAAGGGCTATGTACACCCAAATCAAGCAGCCCCAATCAGGGGTCAAGCTAGGGTTTATATGGAAAAGAGCATGGGAAAGAAATGCCAGGAACACTGATGAGGTAATCCAAAGGTGCAGGTGTCTTTGGGGGCTATGGATGGGAAAGTACAGGGAGTATACCGGACAGGGAGGGGGATGGATCTTTGGAGTCTGGCAGGAGGAAGAGTCCTTGGGCTGGGCAAGGCACCCCTCTCTCTCTGTCTTGATGAGAGAATGCTCTGCAACAAGGGGAAGCTTTCTCACAACACAGGAACTTACTGAGGAATTGGGAGGCTTCCAGAGACATGATCTGAGGGCTGGGGCCTGAGCAGCCCAGCTCTGTGTAGCTGTACCAGGGAGAGAGATAAGGGTCATGCTGAGGCCCATGCATGAATAACTGCTAGGCACAGTGTCCTTGGGCTGGGGAGTGGTTGTCAGAGACAGTGTTTCTGAGACTAGGGAGAAATTGGGGGCACAAGCACAAGCGCAAGCACCCCATTATTACGGGTCAGAGATCGCACAAATCAGACTAGGTGTCCTGGTCTCTGGTATAAACATAATTATCTAAAGCAATTATATTGCAAGCTTTCTTATCCATTTGGAGGTATGGGCTGTGCTGAGCTATGCAAGAGTACATTTCACTATTGTTTGGATTTAGGAGGAAAGAGGTCTGGGGCAAGATTAAGCAGTAATTTCTGCTTTTCATGGCTTAAAGGGCCCTACTACCTAAATGGTAAAATAATGTTCTGCATTACATAAGGACCTACTCCCACCTCTCCCCCAACCCCCCCCAAAAAAAAACCAATCCCTGCCCTCAAGGAGCTTGCGTTCTACTAAGGAGTGTGTGAGAGGTGGACAAGACCCATCATTAACACCAGTAAATACATACACACATGTATGTGTACATATGTTGGAGAGAGTATTAACAATTAGGGGAGATCAGGGAAAACTTCAGAGGAAGTCCAGGCTGGGCCTTGAAGGAAGATCAGAGTTCATAGAGGGAGTGTGTTCCAGACTTTGGGTTGGCCTGTGGAAAGGACCACACAGAGCTGGGAGATGGGAGGTTGAGTTTAGCTAACAGTGTGCAATTAATTTCTTCATCAGTAAAATGAGAGGGTTGGACTAGATGTAGATGTGTTCTGAGATCCTTCCAAGTCTAAAACTGTGATCATGTGACGAATGTAAAAAAAGGCAAAAAAAAAAGGGCAGCCTGAATTTTAGAGGACCTTAAATACAGAGTTGAGGAATTTGTATTTTAACTTAAAGGGAAAACAGATTTCAAAGAGTTCAGAGAAAGAGTAGGTAATCATAATATTGGCAGATTTTGAGTTAGTGCTTTAAGAGTTAGTGCTTTATGTTTTAAAAAATGAATGTTAAAAATTGGTTTTATATGCAACTGGGGAAAAATAAAATATTAAATAAAAGTTTGAAAAAGAAAGAGTGCGTTATATACCTGAATCGCATTTGAGGCTCATAACAACCCTGTGAGGACATAGTTATTACAGATATTACCCCCACTTTGTAGGAACTGAGACTTAGAGACTTTGACTTGGCTATAGTCATACTACTAGTGTCATCGTCGGGATTTAGGTCTTCCAGATTCTGAGTCCAGCACCCTTTCCACTACACTATGCTCTGGCATACTGTTTTACAGGGGAAGTCTATCCAAGAAAGAATGGGGTACTCTTAGTGATGAATTTCTTTAAGTTTTATTTTTATATTATGTTTCCCAGTATATATTCTACCCCCTTCCCTCCCAGAGAGCCATCCCTCAAAAGAATAAAAAAAAAAAAGGAAAAATCATTTAGTGAAACTAATGCATCGATTAAATCTGACATTCTATGTAGTGTTCCATACCTATTAGAGTCTTCTACTTCTGCAAAGAAGGGAGCACGTAGTGCAGAGAATATTCGGAAGGTATGAGCAGAAATGATTCAGACAAGGTGGAATAATAATAGCAAACGTTTATGTAGCATTGAAAGGTTTGGAAAATACTTTTATATACACGTGTTTGTGTGTACACACACATGTATGTCTATACATATACACAGTTATTAACTTATTTGATCCTCGTAATAACCTGGTGAAATAGGTGCTATTCTTATCCCTATTCTATGGAAGAGAATACTGAGGCTGAGAGAAGTTCAAGTGACTTAGGCAGCTGAGTGGCACGGTGTATGAGACACTTCGCCTGGAATCAATTAGACCTGAGTTCAAGTCTGTTTTCAGATACTTATGAATATAAAATGAGATCATGTTTGTAGAGTGCTTTGTGAGCTTTAAAGTTTGATATAAACTCTAGTTGTTTCTGTAATTATCATTACTTGTCCAGATGTGTAATGCGGGATTTGAACACAGGCTTCCCTGACTCCTAAATTCAGCAGCATGTTGGCTACACCAACATATCCTGAAGAGACTGATCTGGATGCATAAGAAACTTATGGACAGACTCAGATTTTAAAAATCTATAAACAAGTAACTCAGAACAAATACAGCAAACTGGCCCTTTTCTATAAAGAATCATGTCAGGACTACTGAAGCCTCTGTTGGTATCCACAGTTGGGTCAGTCAGGAGCACAGGGTGAAGGCTCAGCACATCAGGTAACACTGCCCCCCCCTCCCCCATCCCACCCAGGATCTCATGGGAGGTCACGCTCAGGGTTTACACAGTGGGAAGGTAGGGTTTCAGTCTGCTTCATTAGAGGATCTATTCAAGATCGTAGATTTACTGGTGATTTGCCTAGAGTCACACAGGTGGTAAGTGTCTGAGGTTGAATTTGAACTTTGGACTTCCTGACCCTGTCAGGAGAGGCCTGTGCTCTGTCCACTGTGCCACCTGTTTCTAATGTTGTCCCTTCTGGTTCTAAATTCCATGATCCATTGAATCCAATATTATCTTCACACTGTGATTAGATATGAGAATAGTACTGAAGTGGATTTTAGAGATGGAAAATAGCTAACGGGTAAGGAGGGAGTCATTGATGGAGATGAACAGTTGACAGAACGACTATACCTTCATTTTAGGGGTTTGGACTGGAAGCCTGTCCTGGTAAGAGATGTTCTCTGTTATTTCATTCCTGGTTAGGGCTCTGTTAACATGCCAAATACAGAAATTAAGAAGTAATGGAATGGAGTGTTGCTGATTTGCAGACAACAAGACCTAGGATGTGGGAGTCAAAGAATAGTTTTTTCTCTTTTCCAGTCATCCTCCATACCACTGCCAGAGTAATCTTCCTAAAATGCCACTTTAATCATATCACTTTACTGTTAAGAAAGCTTCGTTGGTACCTCATTGCTTAGAAGATAAAGTCCAAAATCTCCATTTAGGCGTTCAGGGCATCTATAATTTTGCACCAGCCTACGTTGTCCCTAACGCTAGATGGTGCGGCGGATGGAGCACTGAGCTTGGAATTAGGAAGACCGATCTTCCTGAGTTGAAATCCAGCCTGAGACGCTGGCTGTGTGACACTGGGCAAGTCATTTGACCATGTTCGCCTCAGTTCCTCATCTGTAAAATGAGGTGGAGAAGGAGTAGCTCCAGTGTCTTTGCCAAAAAAAAAACTCCAAATGGAGTCAGGAAGAGTCAGACACAACTGAAATGACTGAACAACAACATTTGTCCCTCACCTCTCATAACTGTGCAAACCTCTTAGTCACCATAGACTTGTCTCTTTACTGTACCCCAGAATAGTTGTGCATTTCTGTATCAGTCCTGTTATTTATACTGTTCCCTTTGGCTCAGCTGTTGTAACCTTTTCCTTTCCTCCCCCTGGACATCTGTACCCTGTACTGTCAATGCCAGTCATTTGTTATTTAATCATATAGTTCCTTGTATATTTAGCCAGTTCACTTGTGTCTCTCTTGCCTCCCCAGCAAGACTGTAAGTGCTGTAATATTGTGCCATGTCTCTCACATTGCTATGCTTGTAGTAAACATTCAACTAATTATTAAATGAATGAACAAATTTTCTGAGTACAGATCTCCTAACTTGGCGTTTTCTCTTTTTTGACTCTGGACTTTGAAAGGTTGGGTTTTGGTAGAACCTCAGTGTGCATCTTCTTGAAGGAAAGGTACCGTGGGACAATCAACTAGGTCTTCCCCTTCCCATTCTCTTGTGTCTGTGCTCAAGAAAACCAGCTTGGCAACTGCTCAGTACTAGAGTGAGTCTTTGTCTAAACCATAAACAGCAACTTAGACACAGGAAGGCCTCTGAGGCTTGTTTTATACCATTTTCTGTGCTGCTTGGATAAAGATAATTAAGGACTTTGGGGTACAGGATGTGGTAAAGTTATGACTTGTTTCTCACTAATCATACATTGAAATGCAGAGGATTATAGATGTTAGCTATTTACCTTTGCAAAAGCTTACTACTTTTTCAAAATCTTTTTGTTGTTGTTACAGGCTTACTGACGATATACACTTCTGTCTCAAGTAAGTTTGTTTTCTCCTATTTGCAGGACTTTTAAACCTCAAACTGGATTATAGTGATGATTGTTAGTCATTATACTTCTTGAGTTGGTCCTTGTTTTGCCATATTTGATGTCACATTTGCCATTCTTCAACTAACACAGTACTTATGGATATAATGTCATTGTTCCTCAGTTTTCTCAGCTTTTAAAAGAGAAAGTTGGGTGGGGGGGATCTCTAAGACCCCTTCTAGCTCCGAAGTCCTATGATTCACTTGGATTATTTCCTAGCCCATCCTTTCTTCTGTACTGCTGCGAGAGAGGTGTTGAGACTGTATTGGAAGTTACACTGAATTTGGGGACAGAAGGCAGGTTTGGCTTCTGGCTTTCGTATTCTGAGTGACACTGGGGAAATCCCTTTTCCTTTCTTTGGCTCAGTTTCCTCATTTCTAAAGTGAGTGGCTTGAATAATATGATCTTCAGGGTTCTTTCCCTGTGTAGTAGTTCATGAAGTTTTAAATTTCAACCTTGCCTCTGAGTTAGAACAAAATCAGGAGGCTCCAAGTTGAGGTTGTATGATATTTCTCAGACTCATGAAAATAATATATAGGTTTTGTGTAGGATTTTGCTCCTTATCTTTATTTGTACAGTTGTTAATTTTATAATTTAAAATGTTTTTAAGGAAAAACTGCCATCCTTTCATAGAAAGTCAGCCTTTTTTCAGGCATACCAAAGAGCTATGGAGGAATGCGTGGAAGGCATGCTCATCAAATCTGCAGATGACTCAGAGCTAGGAGGAATAATAACAGAGTAGATGACAGTCAGGATACAGAAAGATCTTGAAAGGCTATAGAGCTGTCTTATAAGGAATAAATATATAAAGATTTGGACTTGGGTCCAAACAAATTAACTTCCTAAGTATAAAGTGGGGGATACATGGAGAGACAGTTCTGAAAAAAATGGGAATGTCTTAATGGATTTTAAGGTCAAGCAGTGTAATGTGGTAGCAGAAAAAGATCGTGTGATCTTGGACTGCATTAAGAGAGGCAAAGCCTCTAGAAATAGGGTCGTGGTAGCCCTCCTGTGATCTTCCCTCATCAGACCTCAGGAGCAACGTGCTCAGTTCTGGGTGCCAGGGTTTAAGGATAGCTAATAAACAGCCCATCTGGAGGAAGGTAACTGGGATGATGCAGGAGTTTTGAGAAGACTAAGAGGGACAAGTATTGGAAGGGCTGTCATGTGGAGATAGAACGAGGCTTGTTCTGTTTGGCCCCAGAGTGGAAGTTGTCACGGGGCAAATTTAGGTATAACATCAGGAAATGCCTAACAATTTTTCCTGAAGCTTCTGTCAAAAGTAGAATGAAATACCTAGACAAGTGATGAGTTCTCCCTCCTAGGAGTTCTTCAAGCAGAGGCTGAATAACCTCTTGTTGGGTTATGTTATAGTTGGGATTCCTTGTATGTAGGAGTTGGACTAGATGATGACTGAGGTTCCTTCCAACTTTCAAATTCTCTGATTTATGGAAAGGAAATTATGTCCAAGGATAAAGTAGATAAACCTCTCTACATTTGACCAGACCCTTGGAACTTCTTTGAAAAGAAAAGAAAAATTAAGGTCAAATTTTAAGGACCCATGTTTTCCTTCATGACCACAGTTCCAGTCTGCAGGTTTTCTGCTGAGCAATAGGGTGTATCACTGGGCAGGGAACTTGTACCATGTTGTATGGATTTGAAATTTCTTGATTCAAAACTGGCAGCACTCTTCATTGAGGAAGTTCAGCTAACTTCTGCTTTGGCTGTAGAGAACTAATGCCAAGGGAGAGATCCCTAACTTCTAACATATGTATTATTTAATTTTGTATTACAGATCTCCTGGAGTTCCAGTAAATTTTCAGAGTCCTCTTTCAAGTCAACAGGCATCGTGCTTTTTCTTTGAAGAATTGTAAAGAGAGAACAAAGCCAAAGCGGAAGGGGGAAAGATGTCCAACCCCTTCTTAAAGCAGGTTTTCAACAAGGACAAAACCTTTCGGCCTAAGCGCAAATTTGAGCCAGGCACACAGAGATTTGAACTTCACAAGAAGGCTCAAGCTTCCCTGAATGCAGGGCTAGATCTGAAGTTGGCTGTCCAGTTGCCGTCTGATGAGGAACTCAATGATTGGGTGGCTGTGCATGTGGTAGACTTCTTCAACCGCATCAACCTCATTTATGGAACCATCAGTGATAACTGCACCGAGCAGTCATGTCCGGTGATGTCTGGGGGCCCTAAGTATGAGTATCGATGGCAGGATGAGCAGAAGTACCGGAAGCCGACTGCTCTCTCAGCACCCAAGTATATGAATCTTTTGATGGACTGGATTGAGGTTCAGATCAACAATGAAGACATCTTCCCTACCAATGTCGGTGAGTTGTGGTCATGTGGCTCCTATCTGAGAAATAAGAAATGAGGAAAAGAGACTTTTGCTGTGTCCTGCCTTCTCTTTCCATTTGCCACTTGTGCTAGCATTGACAGGCCTGTCTGTCCAGGGCACTTATTTCCAGGCCTGTAGAGTGCCGAGTTCCTGAGGCATCAGGACTTGAGTCTGTGATCTTTGTAGTCAGTTCATTCCAACGCCCGGCTGCTACAGAAGCTGGTGCTTCTCTTAGAGAAGTTGGAAAAAACATGTAGACTTCACTTCGTGAAGTTCCTGGAGCCAAAGCAGAGTTGTGGTAGGGGAAACAATGAAAGGGAGTGCCTTGAAGGACAGAGCAATACTGATCTCTGATTGTCCCTGTGTTCTTCTGTTTTTAACATGCTTATGCTGCTGGGGTCCAGCTGGTTTCTTGTTCAAGTAACCAGGTCAGTTTGGGACTGGTCACCATTAAGATGACCTATTCCCTGTGAGTCGCAGAAATTTTAGGTAGTGAGGGATTTCCCACTTGGCAGCTGCTAACGTCATCCCATCCATCCTCCTTCTGCCCAGTTAAATCAGTAACAAAATAAAATGTAAAGTATGGCAGGAAGGCTAAGCCAAATCTCCCTTTCCTTTCACACCCAGTCTCCCCCTCTATTTTCTCATTTCAGGGAAATAAAAAATAGGTTCATTACCAAAAAGACCTATGCTCCCTGTTTAGCTTCCTTGAGTGAGATTCTCCACTAGTTAAAGATTTCTTATTATCTCCTGCTGATGTATTGAGCCATGGCATGGTGTGCTAACAAAAACCTTGGAGTTCTAGTCCTTGCAGTGTGTCCTTGAGTCCTTCCTTGTGGGTCTCAGTTTTCTCATCTGTAAAAGGTTAAGGTAGGCATCCACTCACATTTTGTGTGTTACGAGTTTATTCGGTTCTATCTCATGAGTTAGGTAAGTAGTCAGAGTGGCAGAGCAATTATAGCAGCATGGTAATGGTGATGGCAGGTGCTCAGATGTGGGCTCTGGTATTTGAACAGTAGCTTACCTTATTGTTGTCCTTCTGTTACAGTACATATTTTGTCCCCCATCCATTGACTTGTTTGCTTGTCCATGCTGTGATGAATTACTTTAGATTTCTACTTTTTAGATGTCTCAAGGGTTTCAGGTTCTTCTGTAGCACCTTTACAGTTTTTTTAAGATAACCGTTAACTGCACTTCATGATCATTTCCTTTGTAACCTTGTGTATTTTACTTTATACCTTTACAAACCTCATTTTGGGGAGGCTTCACCAGACCAACTGCCCAAATTGTAAAGCACTTAGCACAGTGCCTGGTTTTGCTTTCTAAAAATAACTTTGGATCAATATCTTTTGTTTTTATAGTAACTGCATTTCCTAGTGTATCTATCCCTTATACCAAATTATAAAAGAGAAAAAAAATTCAGCAAAACTACCCAATATATTGGAAAAATCAGATATTTTATGCAGTTCCACACCCATATTTCCCCACTTTCTCAAAAAAGTACGGGGAGGTTCTTTCTCATATTTCTCCTTTTAATAATTTAATTTCAAAGCATTCAGTTTTGATTATTTTTTTCCTTTTTAAAATTAATTTATTTTGATTTATCAACAATTATTCCATACAAGTCTTCCCAGGTTTTTCTGAAGTCCACCTGCTCATCATTTCTTATAGCACAATAGTATTCCATTACATTCATATACCACAACTTGTTCAGCCATTCCCCAATTGATGGACATCTCAGTTTCCAATTGAATTTCAAAGAATTCTTTGCCACCACAAAAAGAGCTGCCATACATATTTTTGTACATGTGGGTCCTTTTCCCGTTTGTATGATCTCTTTGGGATATAGCCCTAGAAGCGTTATTGCTGGGTCAAAGGGTATACACATTTTTATAGACCTTTGGGCATAGTTCCAAATTGGTCTCCACAGCTCCACCAACAATGCATTAGTGTTCCAATTTTCCCACATCTTCTCCAACATTTATCATTTTCCTGTTTTGTCATGTTGGCCAGTCAGATAGGTGTGATATGGTACCTTAGAGTCATTTTAATTTGCATTTCTCTAATCAATAGTGATTTAGAGCATTTTTTCGTATGACTATAGATGGCTTTAATTTCTTCATCTGAGAACTGCCTGTTCATATCCTTTGACCATTTATCAGTTGGGGAATGGCTTGTATTATTATAAATTTGACTTAATTCTCTATATATTTTAGAAATGAGGCCCTTATCAGAGACACTGGTAGTAAAAATTCTTTCCCAATTTTCTACCTTCCTTCTAATTTTAGTTGCATTGGCTTTGTTTGTGCAAAAACTTTTCAATTTAATGTAATCAAAATGATCCATTTTGCTTTTCCTAATGTTCTCTATCTCCTGTGTGGTCATGAATTCTTCCGTTCTCCATAGATCTGGCAGGTGAACTGTCCCTTGCTCTCCCAGCTTGCTGACAGTATCAGCCTTTCTGTCTAACTCCTGAGCCCATTTTGACTTGATTTTGGTGTATCCGTTTTGATTATTTTTGTTGCTGTTCTTTCCGTTTACATTGTTGCGGTCAAGGGCTTATCAAACGCTGGGTGACTGTATTTGCTTCCTTTTTGATGTTTGTCTATTTAATTGGTTCCACTGATTTCCTTTTCTGTTTTTGTAACCAGTACCAAATAATTTTGGTGATTACCATTTTATAATAGAATTTAAAATCTGATCATTCTAGGTCTCCTTCATGCCTGCTTTTTATTTTATTTTTTCATTTTTTTCCTTGAGAATTATATATGACTTTAACAAATCATTTTGAACTAAAAGAAATGCGGTTTTTGCTGGTTGGCCAAGAACTGTCATTTGTGATATTAGCCTTCATGCAGGATTGGCCTCAAGAAAAACCAGGTAAGTGGGGGCCACCCTTTGGCCAAGTAGGGCTTGCTTTGTGTATACCTCCTGAAATGTATCTGTCATATAACCCCTCCCGTTTCAATGACTCCCCTGCCTAGGGTTACATCTAGTTGCCTAATCAAATGAAAAATGAAGTGAGCATGTCATGCATTAAAGCATTGCTAAGGAACAAAGCAGTGCCAAAGGCGTTGGACTAGATGAGGTCAGAAGGAGCTTGGGGCTCCTCCACTAGCCCACCGTGTGCCTTTAGGTGTATCATTTATAGTTTCTGGGCCCATTTCCTCTGTAAAATTAAGGGGTTCTACTAGAAATGATAGCTGAGTTCTAGTATATCATCAACATTCCACTATCTGTGTTGTAAAATTTCTTCCAGTTCTTGAGTTGCATTATTAAATGTTTTAAGTCTCTTTGCATCTCTGTTATTATTCTTATTCTTTAAGCTGTGTTCTGAGGGTCCTAAAATTCTAGACATGGAACACTGGCCTAGTCCTTGAGGAGCTTAGAATTAAGACAGGGAGGCATAAAAGCGCTAAAAGTTGGAGGCAGCTAGTTGGCGCAGTGGATAGAGCTCCGGCCTTGGAGTCAGGAGGACCTGAGTTCAAATTTGACCTTAGATACTTGCCACTTACTAGCTGTATGACACTGGGTAAGTCACTTAACCCTATTGCCTAGACCCCCCCACCAAATTTTTTTTTAAATGCTCCTCCCTTTGGGGCAGCTAGGTGGCACAGTGGATAGAGCATTGGCCCTGAAGTCAGGAGGACCTGAATTCAAATGTGGCCTCAGACACATAACACTCACTAGCTGTGTGACTCTGGGCAAGTCACTTAACTCCAATTGCCTCCCCCCCCAAAAAAAAACCACTAAAATTTTAAAGAACAATACAAGTTCAAGAAATGGCCCAAGGAAGTACATGATTCATTGTTCAATCATTTCTGTACTAGCAGTATAGAAAAGCTATTGTAGAGAAAGAAGGTGGGAGAGAGATCTCTGAGAGCTGGTAATGCATCATAGCTTTGTTCTGAATGGACAGGGAGAATTTGGATGATCAGAAAGGAATGGCTAGCATTTATACAGGCAATGGAAAAAATTCTGGGTTTATAGTCAGAGGACCTGTTACTTAATACCTTTGTGACCTCAGGCAAGTCACTTAATCCCTTTGACCTCAGTTTCCATATCTACAAAATGACAGGGTTAGACTAGAGAATTTCTGTAGTTCCAGCTCTAAATCTGTGAAACCACATAATAAATATAGGCATGGAAGTAAGAAAGTAGGAAGAATGCAGAAAACTTTGCAGAGCAAAGTGTTCATGTAGGACTACTTGTAGTGTGTGATGAGATTAGAAAGAGACATTATTGTAGCAGATTTCTAATTCTAGGCTAAGCAATTTGGACTTTATCTTGAAGGTACTCGGGCAGCAGTTTTTTGAGCAGGGGAAAAACATGATGAAAATGTTTTTTGAAAAAAATTCAATTAAGCTCTATAGAGAGACTCATATCATTGTTATATTTATCTCTTGCCAAGTTATTTAATCTTAGTTCTCTTATCTGTGAAATGAGGGAAATGATAGTTGTACTTCCTACTTCACAGGTTTATTGTGAGGAAAGTGCTTTGTTTGCAAGCCTTTTTAAAGCACTATATAAATGTAAGTTATTATTAATTATCTTTATACCTAGGTAACTGTAAACACCAATATATCAAGGATCTGTAATTTCTTCCATGTGGGAAGTCTCTCTACTCACATAAATTATAGCCATTTTTTGCTTAGCTTAGACTCAGAGTGGCCTGAGATTCAGAGAGCCTAAATCCCTTGCCCAGAGTGACAGAGCTAGTGTCGAGTGAGACTGGAGCCCAGGTCTTCTAGACTTCAGATCCAGTATTCAGTCGGCTATGCTACATTGCCTCTCTACAGAGAGACATGAAGATGGGTATAATGGTGTAACTGAAAAAGTCACAGTCAGAGAGGCTGTGCTGTAATCTGACATTCTCTGTTTGCTTTGTGACTTGGGAAAATGACTGCGGCTCTCTGGGCCCAGTGTCCCTCACCTGTAAAGTGAAACGCCAAACTGTATGATTTCTTAGGTCCCCTCTTCTTTGTGATCCTA